TGTTATAATAACAGTAAATGATGTCATCGACACAAAAATGTCTTCTTTCACTCAATTGTTTGTTTGTTTGTTCAATGAAACAATAGTTTGTTTGATCGATCGAAATCGGTACTCCTTCTAATTCAAATGATGAATCGAAAATATTGAAATTCATCATGTCAAGTTAAATAGATTTATGGTATTCTGTTTGAGTAACTTTTGTTGCGCTTGCATCTTTCAAGTTCCATATTATTACAGGATATTTCAGTGCTGATAATGATGTTGAAAATAATATCAATCCATATTGAGTAGTAGATGTATAGAGTGCTTTATGTCTGTTTGGACAATGTTGAGCACCATTGTGATCGTAGTCCAATTGTTAGAGGTTTGATTTGTGCTCCGGTCAGATCGATTATATTCTGTGCTTGTGATAATGCTCAGAGAAGCTCTTTGATTGGTAATATTGTCTCATTTGTAATAAAAACATCATACTAACGCGGTGGTAATGTGTAGATCTTATTGAAGCAGATAACAACTGGTTACTTTGTGTTGGTTAGGCATCGATTCTCCTTGATCATGAGAGAGCAGTGAGGGTAAATTCTGATTTTCAGACTTCATTCATTTCGCTCAAATACAATATACTTCATCTGTTAAATCTTCATAGTGGTGAGTGTTACGATATGCACATTCTTCCACTTCTTACGTTATTAATTTTTCCTCTCAACGAACTCATTGGTAATGTTTTAATGTGGTTGGATGCTCATCGCTACACTAAAGTAATTTCGTTGATAAATGAATGATTACAATAGTTTAGCTTATTTAAAGCCTTTGAAGAATGTAAAAATGTATGTTTATCATCGGTGCGTAATGAATAATCTAGCATATTTGCCAAATACAAGTTTTTGTTCATGTATTTGAACTAGTAATACCAAGTGAAAACCCTGATTGGATCATTTGGGATGGAGTTCGAACGCCGTGACCTCATTCTTAGTACAACTAACCACATGCACCAATCCACACTGTGAATAACAAAAGTGATTATCAGTATATCGTAAAAAGTGTTTTTTTTGTTAACTTAACTGTTATGTAACAGTTTTAGCCCAGTAAGTACTCCAAGATTCACGCCACTAAATATGGAACCAATTCATCTTTCAAAATATCCAGAAATATAACCAGATCATCCGAGCTAAATTAACCTAAGTATGGCGCTTTTGTAAATATCTAGTCAACTTATTTTGAGATTTATTGTTGTATTTTTGTTTACTAAACTAATTAAACATCATGTTTATTCGATAAAACATTTTCAACTTCAGCATTGTTTCAGTGCTAAAACACTCCAATTGAAATAAACATGGCGTCTTGTTTTGTTTGCTTGAACTTCACATTGAAGTTCAATGTCCAATTCAGTGCTTTTTTCGTCTAACGCGTTTAATTATCTAATGCAAAACACAAATCATCGTTGTAAAAATTATACAATCCACAATCTGTTTGAAATATATTAATAATGGCAGATTGTTGATGAAAAGGAAACTAAATAAAGAAAAAAAAATATTTTTTTCATGTGATCAAAACACGAATTTGAATTAAGATTTGTTGAATTTATCAATTAGCCAATGCATAAAAAATTAACTGTTAAACTAAACAATGTTAAATATTTCATAGCAAATATAGACGTTCTGTCCAATATTGATAGAAGAGAATGATGATAAATTGTGGTTTGAGGTAGAATACACTGACAGGTGTGCATGTTGTTGTAGGTCAGAATATGACTGTTGTATCGAGAGAAGCAAGCAAAGTCTCTAGATTTGTTTTTTGTGAACGAAATGTGTTTGAGTTATTTTTGTGTGTATGTATACATTGGATTTGGCTTTTCAATAGAAGCTACGCACTGATTCTCTGTTTTCTGGTTTATGCACGCATATACATATCTCAGAGTCGAACATGGAGCCAAGTCTGAATCGAGTGAAGTTGAGTGACGCTAAGACAGTGGTGTATTAGGAAGTTGAGCATTTTTGTGCGAGACAAAAATCGCCTGTGTTCAACTCTGGGGGTGTGAATGTCACGAATGCGCACTGTTGATGAATTTCTACCATTCTCGTATGAAACAGCTGACTAGTGCTTGCAAGTTTTCAGTTGTGTTGGTCTAACATTATGCATGAATATTTAAATTTTGTGTAGTGTTTTGTCCATTTCATCTTTATTCATGCCTACATTTGCTTGCATTGAAATTGTTGTTTTGTGTTATTCAATAAAGCATGGATTAAGCAGCAGCATCCTCCATCTCCTTATCATCATCAACATCATCATGATTATTGTTATGATCGAAATGTTTGTGATGCATGTGACTTATCCAACTCTCCAACACTAATCACTTCCTCTTCACTATTGTTGTTTCCTTCACATGGCCATGGTCATTCTGATTGTGAAAATTTTCATCCTGTTCGTCTACACAATGATGATCATTCTGATGATGATGCAATGATAATTAGCACTGAAACCATTGCCGATATCGACTATTTGAAGAACACTAGTTCATTGAATTATCAACATCCTCACCAATCACCACAACATCACCACTACCAGCAACAACAACAACACACAACCATGATGGAAGCATCATCATTGCATAATAATAAATGTAAATGTATAAACTCTCCTCCAGTCTCATGCATTGTTCATCGTGATGCACAACCAGTTCGTGTAAAATTATTCACTGGTCTATTGAATTGGATTCGTTTATTGTTTAAAAATATTTCTCAATTATCATTCTCTGTATTATTGCCATCATTATTTCGTAAATAGACAATGACAATTTTGTATTGGGCATTGGAAGGTAAAGAAAGAGGCTAGAAGCGGTGATGGTGGCGGCGTTGACGACGGCGAGGCGGAAGGATGTGATGAATAATGACCACATCACTGACGCTTCTTTAAATTTTCTAATTTCAATTTGTTTTCACTAATGAAGAATCACGCAGACACACAAATCTTCATTAGTTGGTAGATTATATTTCGATATTATTATTGATCAAAGTTAATTGCCAGTGATATTTATATATATATATCTTTATGTACACATGTGTTCGGTGGTGTTTTCACGTTTCATTTATTTTGTTATCTTACAAAAAGAATCATAATAACAATAATAATAATAATTCAATCGAATAATGAATTGTACTCGGTTTGTTTGTTTTCGCCATTTCTTTTGTTTTCTCTTTCACCTTTTGTAAATGGTGATGTGCGTTGCCATTTCTTTTTCGACATTTCACTTTTCAATTCATATTTATTTTGTCGTTTGTAAAAATAAAGAGGATTAGAAAACCAAACCACGAAACAAACAAAAAACAAGAACATCAGACTAAATTCGATAACACTTTGTGATTTAACCAGATTTCCGTCATTGATATCGGTTGCATAGGAGCAACAGCATACTCTTCTCTTCATCAATGCTTTTTTTTAAATGTTCAATAGGAGAAATTAATGCTGATGCGCCATCATAAGTGCATATTAATTTTTGTTGAATTTTTCTTTTTATACCTAATAACAGATAATTTCCTTTCTTTCTTCCTTGTTTGTTTGCTTGTTTTTGATTTCGCTAACTTCTTCCATGTATTTTCTTTTTTGGACGAAACATATTGATACTACTTATTTGTTATGACAGCATACATACCTGTGTGGATGTATGCATGTTTATGTGATAGACGACAACTGCTCAAAATAATCGTTATTTTACGAATTAATTTTGATTGTAATGAAGAACCACATTGCGAAGGGGTTTGATGAAGTGACGAAATGTATGTATGAAGTGATGATTGTGAGTTGTTTACAATCTATCACAATCACTCAATGTTTGGATGCATGGATCATCGCTGTACCATACATAGTTAATGAGTAAAGTGTAGTTTCTCCAAGTTGCAATGTTTAGCACCGAAACATTTTGACTCAAGTTATCGATCACATTTGATGAGAATCATCAACGGCGTCCGTATTCATTCATGTGATTCAAACTGATAACTGATGAGATTTACGTGATACTTAGTTAGTATTAATCTTGTTATTTGTTACCTAAAATGTCATCTGCTCAGAACAACTAATTTAGGTTTGCCATCTTACTTTATTTGTAAGTACCAAGCTTCAAATTTCCTGTAAAATGTACAAAGCATTGCGTGTTCAAATAGTCAGTCTGCTACAACGTGTAACCTGGTACGTTCGTAAACGAGTTCAAGTTGCCATACCACAATTAGCACAGAGATCAAATCGTAGATTGAAATCTCATAGTAGTGGGGGTGGTACAGTTATAAGCAATGATTACAAAGATTTGATTCGAGAGATTTGTCACGGTGTAGTCGACTTAATTGGGGAAAAACGGTCATGAGAGGTTGAGAAGATCAGAATTTTAGAGAAGACAAAGAATGGTCAGTCTGGGGCATTGCAAAAGATTTTTACCCACATGATTCAAAGTCTAACCAATCGGCTACCATAGTCACATGGACTCCGAACTGGTAGTCTACACAAACTGACATAGCTTAGTCCACTTGTCAGTAAATTTAAGGATTGTACTCATGTTTTGGTTTGAACGCCCTCCCCTAGCATTCTTCCAGCCTGCTTCTACACCACAAAACATATATCGCCGAGGCAGTCAGTAGTTGGAAATACGTAACGCACACGTCCCAACCTCTTCAACTGATGAAGGCTCAGTACTTCATCTACTGATTTGCCATCCTTACCTAGTAGTATCCTTTAACTAACTAACACCAGCACTGACTACTCGGTGGTCCCAGGAAATACAAGCGATGCTTCGAAGACACTTTTGACCGAATAAACACCAGGTCATCAGCACTGATGATAATTCCAACATAAGAGACGCGGTCGAAACGCTCAACTACCTCATTCACTATTAATAGTTCAGGTGCCGATGCAACCCAATCTTGAAGCAACGTTTCGCATTTCGACTAGCAGAATCGCATCTCGAACATGCTTGCATTGTTGCCTAAGGTGGTCAGAAGACTGTGCATTTCGTCAGAGACTTTTCCAAGTAGAACTATGTCATCTGCATATTCTCAGTGAACAAGTGAATCTTCTTATAAAAGTTCAACTCCTGAAAATTCGGATGATGAGAATGTTGTATCTAAAAGCATGTCAATGATAAAGTTGAATAAGAATGGAGAAAGTGAACAACCTTGACGAACACCATTTGAGCTAATCAGATCTGGTGACAGTTCGCCGTATGATCACACTCGAATAGTAGTGTTCGAGTAAAGAGCCTATGTTAAGGTAATCTACTTCTTTGCTAATCCTTTCAGTGGCAGACTACCATAGAATCTGACGATCGACAGAGTCAAATGCCACCCTAAGGTCGAGAGATAAGACTATTGTCGGACGTCCAAATGTGTATCTGTGTTGTAAGACTGAATCCACTCTGATTTTCTAGAATCTGCTCAGCACGAGCTCTACTCAGGCTTCGAAGTATTATTGGGGCTAAAATTTCAGACACTACTTTAGTTAGACTGATTCAGGGCACACTGTCGAGAGCCTTTTCAACTTCAATTAGAGTTGGAGAACTAAAATCTTTTTGCCATTCAGGTTGACTGGAGATCGTGAGTAACCGAGGTGTGGTTGAAGGCCATTTGAATTGATCCCTAAAATGCTCTGCCCATCGATTCAATTTTCCTGATTGACTAAGTCGATTTGTAAATAAACATAAACGCCTGATGGTCATTCAAAATACGGAATTTGATACCAAACAAGTATTTATGCAGTCCTTTTATTGACTACAGATAAAGCCTCAAATCGATCTGTGATTATCCTTGTATACTCTTACTTGCTCGTCTTGAAATGAAAATGACAACCTCCTCGTTCTGCTCGAAAACGACACCTAACCCCAACGGAGATGGATCGGTAGTGAGAATAAATTTTTCGGTTGGTGAAAAGGGCCAGAGAAAGGCTTCATTATTTAAGTGATGCTTAATTTTTCTCCATGTATCCTCGTGTCGTTGCTTTCATACAAACTCTACTAGAAGACAAGTCAATGAGTTGAGATAATATTTATACTGAGTTAGAAATAAACTTGGAATAAAATTGAAGTTTATCAATCCGTGATCTGAGTCTTGAGGTACTCGTAGGTAATGGTGTTTGGACTGGTGTAACTAGGCGACTCATATCGGGTCTCGAACCTTTGGCATCGACAGTATAGCTTAGAGATTTGATAGAATGAATTGAAATATGACACTTTCATCGATTTACAGCCACATTCGCATCACGAGTGCATCTGAATATCTTTAGAAGTCGTTCTTTCGGCTATTCAACATTTTCGGTAAAAAATACATTGTCATCTTGAAACGACTCAACACCATCAAAACCGGTAATAATCTGATTTACAACCTTCTGGAATATCGCAGGCGAAACATTCAATCCGAATGGTAGGAATTTGTATCTGTGTAATTAGGATAGATAGTACACTAGAGTCTTTAACACAGCCAAGTACTTAGCATTAGTAGGTATTCACCACGACTGCTAGGGGTTTTTCCATTTCCTTCTAGTAGTTTCACAACGGGCGTAGCCCAAATGTACGATTCGACCGTGATTATCATTCTTTTCACAACCAGTTCATCTAACTCATTTGTCACAGTTTCTTCAAAATTAAAAGAAATTGTAGTGGATCGAGTTGAGGTTGACTATTGAAACGCCTACAAACCAATTACATTGTAGTCCTATCGTGAACCAAAAACAGGGAAGAAGAGATAGTCCAGATGAAGGAGTATATTTCCTGGCGATTTCGTGATATCACAAGAATACTGAAATCGTTCCGGAGAATATGGGCGAAAATGTACAGAGCAGCAAATGCAACATGGCGTCTGCGCAACAGGAAAAGTCTTATACAAAATGTGTGAATAAAAAATCAGTTCAATAAAACAATCACTGATGCGATTGGTCATAATAATGAATCCTTCTGTCCAACCAATCGCGTTCTCTTCCTAAAAGTGGAGTCAATACAAAACTATTTCACGCTCTATGAAGATAGGCCTTCCTCTTACGTCCAGGCGTACTTGTTGGATTTTCATACCTTCCATAGCATTTGAGCATTGTAAAACCAGGTTTTCAACTGCGATAATAACAAAAGAATTAGTGCATAACGAAACGCAGACATCCAGTAATCGAAGGCCATTTAACCTAAGAGATGAGTCATACTAACTAACTAGGAAAGTAATATTCAAATAACCATCCTTCTTTTTCCTCAGTCGAATGTTAACCCAACCAATATTGAGTAATTGGTGGCCAGAGATTGCGCTACCCATAGGACTTAAATGGACATCACTATAAAGTAACAGCTAGTTTACCAGAAACAATCGAATCTATGCCACAGTTACCAACAATAAGTGAATGCGACTTGCCTGTATTAGTAATTAAATTTTGCAATATGCATGAAGTACTGCTGCAAATGGTATAAAGCCATGACCATTTAATTCCTCTGTCCAAATCAGTTGATTTTGACGTAATATCATTTATTACTTACGTAGAAAAAGACTTGGAACTTTTACAAACATTGTGTATATGAAAGAAAAGGCGAATATGGGAAAGATTAATAAGCAGTGTGAGTGTAGAATCTAAAAGCAAACTACGGTTTATGACTTCCATACAACCTGCTTTACTGAAGTGGAAATGATACTAAATGACTGACACCTAGTGTTAATTTACGACGATCGAGAGCAAATCTACACATTATCACTCAGTAGTCTACTATTGTTGAGAAAGCCTCATCTTCATAGGATTGAAGTAAATTTACAAGACAAGCTCAACTTTTAGTG